GGAGCATTCTTTGGTTCTCTGAATGGTTGTGGGGTATCTGTTCCTGGTTTGCACGAAGCAATAATGTGAGTATAGAGTGGATGATTGGGTTGTACGTGCAGAATTTTTCTCGAAGAGGTTGGCAGATAGGGGCTGATAAATCTAATAAAGCAAGAAAGAATACGGTGATCTAGTGAGTCCAGAGGAGGGAAAATGCCAATGTCTGAGAGGAAATGGGTGAGTTGAAAATGAGATTGGTGTGGGCAAGACCTCCAGGTCGATCAGGGGCACTCACGGGCAGGTCAACTAGACATTTCCCCGTCAAGCTTTAGCCTCAAACTCCCAGTCTTTTAGTCTCGACCTGTAATCTTTCAGTCAAGGCCCACAATGCTTAAACTACGACCGTTGGTCCTTGATACTAGAAGCACAGACTTTAGTCTGTAAGCGAGTCACATCAAAATGTATCGGAATATTTAGAGGTCAACGAATGTTGAGAAAATTTATTTTCTACAAATGTTTATGTTGCAAAGCTTGGCAAAGAAATTAAAATGTGTGGCGGCCGCATGCTACACATGTTGATTGGAGGTTAAAACGATGTGCCCATAACGTCAAACCATTCGGCATACCTCATACAACTTCAGTATTTCCGTATAACACGCGATACTACTGTAATTAAGAGTCGAAAATGTAGCACAAGCAGTACCTTATTTCGCATTCACAAGCTCTGAAATAAAAAGAAAGTAATACCACAAAAGAGTGAATGCCTACCGTTCCGTATCTCCACTTAAAGTGAACTTTGTTCCTGAGGTGTTGGTACATTAATATGCCGTGGATAATAAGCATCGTTCACAAAAACACTCACTTGGAGTACACCTTTCTCATCAAGCTTTAGACGAACCCGTAACTCTTGAGCCAGTATCGTCATAATTGTCAAATCTTGCAGCGCTAATATACTGATGATAGTAATGAGAGTGTATTTTTGTGAACAGTGTTTATTATCCTCGGACTGGTAATGTATCCACCTCTCATGAACAGAGTTCACTTAAAATGAAGGTACGGAACGGTAAGCATGTAGTTCTCTGAGGTATCGTTTTTTTAATTTAATTAAGTGCTTGTGAATGCATAACAATATACCCTTTGAGTGGCAACTGAGACTTTCTTCACAGGAGTGACGCATTTTAGAGTTCCTACGTAGTGCTGTTATACGGCATTCTATTAGTCCGTAATGGAGTTAAAAATCACATCTTGATAGACAGCTGTTACATTTGTTGTATATTAACTACCATTAAATGCATCTGCAACACGGAGAACGGTAAATCGGATGGATAGAAAAGGCTCTATCGATTCACGAGTGTGAAAGACCGACGTAGAGTGATCGAGCATGCATGCAGAGGCGATGATTTGAAAGAAGCTGTAAAACGCCTAGACACTGAGATCAAAACATGTGCTATCGCAGCCACGGATCGGTAAATAACATCCAAATTTGGATCTTATGAGACGAAATTCAATGAGTTCACAAAACATATGTATGATGTAGTCGATGAGAGGTAGTTAAAGGGAATGATGGAGGACTTCCCGGGCACATCTATCAGCAGAACTTCAATTGATCGATCGCTGCATGGACATCTGATAGATAGACCCTATTTTTCACCCTAAAAGTGATTATTTCCCTCTAGTTTTCTATTTATTCCAAAACATTGAATCTCCGGATTTTTGCGCCAAAAAAGACTTATACCGCGCCACCGGCCATACTTGATACTCATTGGTCCATTTTTCTACGTCACACTACTTTCGAGCTAATTGTCAAGGTCATTGATGACCTATCCCAAAATCGATATAAAAAGTCGAGTTGTCCGCTATTTTCACCTTTACGGTCGGACGAAACATGCAACTTCGCCTGAAATCCTGTCTTTCGTGTTCTCTCTGGTCGAGTTCGGGGGTCGTACTGCAATCGCGGGGCGTTCTGTACGGTTCCACTGGGATTCGCGTAATCGTGTATCGTTCACTGGGTCGTATGACAGGTCTTCAGTAAAATCAAACAGGTGAGCGTTTTTAATTTTTTAATTTGCTTATTGTTTAGTACATTAAAAACTGGTGCCAAATGGTTTTACGATACGGGTAATATCTGATGCAGCGTTTGGTATCATTAAGACGGCCAACTGCGCAGCATACGATCACCACACCTTATTCTCCAGTTAAGCTTTGCAACGTAACGATTTGTAGAAAATATTTTTTTCAGCAATCGTTGACCTCAGAATATTCCAATAATTTTTGATCTGATTCACCTACAGCGATATGACTAAAGTTTGTGCGTCAAGGTTAAAGTACTACGGGTCGTGACTAAAGCATTGCGGGATTGGTTAACGGAGTATCAATTAAGGCTAAAGGTTTGTGGGTCGACGGTAAAGCATTGCAGATTTTGGCGAAATAATTACAGGTCCATGCTAAAGCTTGATGGAAAAAGGTGTATTTGGCTCAGGTTGCTGGCCAAAGCGAAGTGTTCGGCTTCGCATCCCAAAGAAAGAGTAGCAGATCAATGTGTCAACCAATCCTGATTATTAACGTTACAATCGCCGAAGATGGTAACAAGGTAGTTGGGGTCGGTTGCGAACAAGTATGCAATGTTCGAAGATAAAAAATCAAAGACGGAGAAGTCGCCACTACTGAGGAAATGATAGAAAACGAAGGTTATGATTAAAAGAAGAAAGTCGGAGCTTCAGCGACATCAGCTGAAATTTACGATAGGAATATTTAGGATCCTAGACGCGGCGAATGATTGGTGAATGCAGACGCAGACACCAGCTTTGGGTAGAAAGGAGGAATAGAGAGTGAAGTTGGGTACTTGAGGTGGGTTGTGTCTGACGGTCAAAAAAGGACGACAAAAGAACAAGAATGGAGAAATTGGTGCGATTCGGTCCGCGAATATTAGTGAGGGTGATGAGTGCGTGTTCGCATTTTGAGTGCGTAGAGAGAGCGAGGGGGTGAATGATTCTGTTGTCATGCTTACGGTATGAGAAGGAAAACGGCGACCATGATCCTGGGACTTGCAGTGGTGTATCAAATAAGGTCTTGATAGATCAGTCGCGGTAGTAAGCCGGGCTCTGGGTGATTCGCACCGTTGATGAGACCCAACCAGGTCGAAACGACCGTACAGTACTTTCAAGCTTTGTAGTTCGGGCTTCTTTGCTCCATACATGACAAATCAAACTACAAAATGGGAGGACATGTCTAAAAGTCGGGGGAACCACTCAATTTCAGTCACTTCTTTATCACTAAATTATTGAATAGAAACAACTTGGATTTGAATCTGTAGTTAAACTATTTTATCTGTAACTATTACACGCATGCCTAAGTAACGATCCATAAGACCCTGACATGCGTATTTTGTACAGGTTCCCAAAGGTTACCAGTTCTACCAGTGTAGTCTGGACCACATAGGTTCCCCTTCCTTACCAATGCAACACATTTTTTTCGGGGAGTCATCCACTGAAGGCACTCATTATTACTGATAGTCGGGATGATCGATTCAAACGAAATGAACTCAGGAGCCCCAGCTGAAAACCACTGCCTATTTCCACTTAGTTCAATTGGTCAATGGGGTGATAGTAGAACTGAAGAGCAATAGGTTGCCTAGAACAAAAGAAAAGAACTATAAGTGATTACACATAAGCACAAAGTGAATGACTGAGTAACAAGCATGTGATAACTACTTACCTGTCGGTAACAGAGAGGAAGTACGCGGTAGGCTACACCGACTGGCTGCAAGACGGCGCAATAGGACAGAGGAGATAAAACGAGTGAGTATCAATAGCATCTAGCCTCATAGTGATGAAAACTTCAGTTAAACAAAGAATACATAAAATGGGTTGAAATAATAATTGCAAATCAAGTTCTAATGCAAAAAGAGAACTGGTCTGTTTGACTGATACCCCAACTTGAATACAAAAGTAGGTAAAGAGATCAGGGGAAATTATTCAAAAACAAACCACCCTGATCAGAATTTTCCTACAAGGGTAGTTTTATTACAACTTAGTGTGGTGAGAGGCATTGAGGGGTGAACCCCTTAGTCATAACAGCCTTTTTTATTACATAATGTGAATTACAGCAAATGGGGAAATCCCCATTGACAAATACCATACTGTAAAAGGCAGAGTAAGGGAACATTCACATAAGATCCAGTTTATTTATCATGCTTTTAAAAAGTGTAAGTTAGGGGAGAAACAGCAAGTGGATGTTCCACGGCTTGACGGTGAACGAAGCGTTCTTTTGGTTTTCTGAATGGTCGTCGAGTATCTGTTCCTAGCTTGCACGAAGCGATGGTGGGAGAGGGGGTGGGTGAGCGCCGCCAGCGGCGGAAGGCTGAACGTTTTAGGCGTACAGCACGGTCTCATGTTTGGTTAAACCACTCAGGGGATTTGGGTTTGCTGGGCTTGGAAAAGTGCGGAATAAAAAGATGCATACTTTGAATAACAAAGTCGGTGAAGTTGGAAACAGATTTGAAAACATCCGAAGAGAAACAGCAGTCGTTCCAGGGGAAGCAGCTAGGAAATCACGGAAACCGTCCCAGTTAGCTGAATTGGAGCCCGAGAATGTCTCTAGGTGGGTGGTGGCTCGGGGATTGAAAACCTAATAGAACAAGAAACAATACAGTGATCTGATGAGCCAAAAGGAGGGAGGGTACGAATATCTGAGAAAGAAGGGACCCAAAGAAGAAGTAGTAGATCAATGTGCCAACCAGTCCTGATTGTGAACATTAAAATCTCCTAAGATGGTAACATGACAGTTGAAGTCGATTGTATATAAGTGTTCAACGTTCGAAGATAGAAGATCAGAGAGAAGAGTAGCAACTATTGGGTGAACGATACAGAACACAAAGTAGTGATTAGGGGAAGGGAATCGGAGTTTCAACCACATCAACTGATATTCACGATTGGAAAAGTCGAGATTTGGGATCCTGAAGACGAATGATTGGTGAATGAAGGCGCAGACACCCGCTTTAAGAAGAAAGGAGG